TTATATTACTACTATTATCCAATTTTACTAATAACCAATATCAAATAAAAATACAACATGAGTAATCCAAATAACGAGTTTATGTAGATCGCTCTTTGAAAATTAGCAATCAATAATTTTTAATCACGTCTTTCGCGACAAATAGTATCAGTACGACGTTACATGACAATGATCTATTTTGCTAACTACAAATATCAAACGCGAAGAACAAGATGTAATCCAAGTTAAGAGATAATGAGGATCACTGATCACAATCGGTTGGAGCTTGTTGTTCGTTTCCGTCTTTAAATACCGCTTTCGTTTAGAGGCGTGTCGCGTTTGACTTCGACACCATCCGTACCATTCGAGTGGAATTATCCATCTTCAACCTATCTGTGCAGCCGGTCGGCCGGCCTTTCATTTGCTCACCTTTGATGATGCCACACGGAATACTTGAATTGTATCTCATCAATATCCGATCTTTGAGTCCTAAAACTTTTACTCTCGCGCCTTTATGACGAACTTCAGCTGCTAATTTGTCATTCACTTCTTCACTGTTGGAAAGAAATTCTCGGATATTCATTCCAACTTCGGCAAATATTTTCTTTATTTCTTGATAGTTGAGGTCTGCCTCGATAACACTCTGCGTTGATTATTACGTTGTCGACATATAAATTTTCCTTATTTTTCGCAAATGGTGTACCTTTCTCTCCTGTATGCTTTTGTAGTAGCATCGCGAGGAGATTGACTGCAAATTACTTTAAAGTACTTTTTTGAAGCGAAAAGTTACTAAATTATCGTTGGTAACTCTTTTAGCGCAATCTTTAAGCCAGAGGAATCTCGTTGAATCTCGATCGAATTCATTTAACTCAATTTGATGGTAAGCGTTTTCAATATCGGCTATAATAGCAATTTTCATTTGTCTCCGTCTGAGAATTCCGATCATATCTTGGATCACATCCGATATAGGGCTTCATTTAGACTCTGACCGCTACCACATTTAGAAGACGCGTCATAAATTACACGTATTTTTGTAGTTTCTTTATTTGGGGTTACTACCGCTTGGTGCGGAAAGTAATGCAGAATACCATTGTATCCTTCTTCACCAGCGTATTCTATGATGTCATGATCCAATTGCTGCATGATTATAATATCGTATTGTTGAAGATAATTCTTCTTTCTGAGTGATTCAAGCGTTGATTTTAATCTTCCAAGTGATAAGCCATAACTGGAAGGTAGTTTTGATTCTGCCTTCTTCCACGGCCAATTCACTGAGTAGCGTCTGTCTATTTTCTTGACGATTTTGAGGAACAATTTCCTGCAAATATCGTCAGAAGTTTCTTCTGTCTCTTCTTCTTTGATGCCGATAAGTTCCAGTTTCCAGTAGCTATCGATTTAGTCTTCGGTTTTCTTAACACCAACAGTACTTTAGAGTAGAAGTCGAGCGATGCTTTTGTCGAGAAGGTAGAAAGTTTGTATCGTAGATTTGTTCTCGACGAACAAATCTCAGTTTGTTGAAGGGCGTTAAAAATGCGGGAACGAGAGGACGAAGGATAAGATATTTTATTAGAGAATAGGTGGTTAATTCCAATAGGATGTGACACGAGGTGAGAAATTGATTTACTGGTGACAGGTAGATTATAAGGATGATGACGGCCACTGTCCTTGTTGTATTGTTGAGAGAACATAAAGGGATAGAGTATCCGATTATCTTATACGTTGTCTTGCGCGTGTATACAGTTATATTCAGTAGTAATCAGTTCATCCCCGACTGATACGATAGTATTCATACCCTTTTTGAAACGAAATTGGGTTAACCAGTTTGTTGTTTGAATAATTTCCGCTTCGAAAGTTACAGGTCGGTTTGAGGCGCTTTCAAAATATATCCGAGAACCGTTAACTGGTTTGACATGTCTGTTTGTAGATTCTTGATGGCCGCGAACTGACTTTGATACGTCTGTTTGTTTTGATTGTTTTGGTGTTTTGATGGTTTTTTGACGGCTGCTCACTTGGGACTAGTTTGGAAGTTTCGATTGAAAAAAACCTTCAAATGCCATTAATCATCTGGATATTTTAATTGGCATATGAAGATATACGATAGTGGACGAATTTGCGTACTTTACTCGCGGAGTTCGCGACAGCTTTTCTTCTAATATTTTTTTTCCAGTGAGCATCCATCCAACACTCGAATTCATCATTTGAAACCCACATTTGAGTTTCCTCACACTGGCCGGGAGCATAAAATCACAAAAATAATCTGCTCCAATCAGAATTTGAGGATATCGCCACGTTCCGTTAGGTGATATACTGGCCTCATAGACATCGGTCCATCTTTCCGCTCGTTCTGAGTTTTTGTGTAAGGAAAGGAACTGCGTTGACCTTTATTCGTTTCAAACATGCCTCTTGTAACAAAACTTCCACTTTTGTTACTTTGGATTTGTACCTCTTCGATTTGTCTTCACCAAATCGCGATACCCTGAGATCTTCTTTTTCTTTGGCACATTTTAAACGTAACTGTTGAGCGAGATCGTCTGTTATAAATGATTTATGGCTTCCTGTATCGAAGAAAACTGTGTCTTTGATCAACTCATTTCTATGGTTTCCTTTCTGGAGAAGCGTTTCGCTGCATAAAAGAAATACTGTCGCGTCTCTTTTTTTGAAAACGTAACGGCTGTTGTCAGTGTTACATTACCTGATTTCGAAGTCTCTTGCCTGTCAACTGGATTGTTTCTTTGTCTTTTATCACTTGATTTCGGCTTGTGGTATTTTGTATCCTCCTCGTCAGAGAATTTTTGTTTGCATAATGCAGAAATGTGTTGCTCCTTGCAATGGAAGCATTGCATCTTTCGTCGACATTCTTCCGTATAGTGGCCATCGTTTAGGCATTTGTAACATATGCCAAGCTCTTTGACCCATTCGCCTCTCATTTTATGCGTGTGATATTATTTTCACAATCGTCGTTCCAGTGATCTCCTTTGCAGAATACACATGGATATTTTCTGACGTTTAATTCTTTATCTTTGACGAGTGTTGCCATTGCTGAGCTCCTTTTGTTACCTTGATATTTAACATCCTTTTGATTCGTTCGATTTGTGTTGGGGGCTTCAGAGTAGCCATGATATCGATCCACCATTTCTCTGAGGGTCACGGCTTCTTCGATATAGTTTCGCAGCTTTTTGACGCTCCAAAATGGATCAGCTGACTTTTTCGTGTAGATTTCCAACAGTAGCCATTTTGGTAATTTTTCTTCTATGGCGAGTTCAATCTGAGGGTGATTGATGTTATCGCCAAGTATTTCCAGTTGTCTTATAGTTAGTATGACCTCTATTTTTTCTGTTGTTGGTCAAAGGTTTTTGGATTGGCCGTAGGTAAGTGCTTCAACTCGCTTTGGAGATGTTTCTTTATCAGGTTTTCATCTCCATACCTTTGTCGGAGCATATTCACGACTACTTCATCATAATTCTCAGGGACTATTGCATATCCCGAGGCTGTTGCCTTGGCTGCTCCGACAAGGCAGTTAAGCAAATAATTTAGCTTCGTGATCTCGGGAATGGTTTTAGATCCCACTACTGCCTGGAATATCGTCCAAAATTCGGGCCATTTTAACGGGTCACTGTTGAATTGTAGTAATCCTAAAATTGATAACTGGATAGAGGATCTCACGACATTAGGTGCGGCCATTTCTTCTAGTGCGGCTTTGGATAGGGTGTCGTCATATGAACGTCTTCGTAATCCCAAATCCGCCATCAAGGAAGCCAGTACGTCTATGGCTTTGCGACCCTGATCTTCGGCGTTTAGTAGCCACTCACGTGAACTTTTCAGGTAAGAAACAGTTTCCTTTTTCCTCTGCTCTTTACCAGCAATCTGATGGATATATGCCGTCCACTCGCTATTATCTCTTGCAGTGCATTCACTGCTGAGATTATCTTTTTTTTTCAAATGGTCCTCTTGAAGTCATTCTTTTCTACAGAATGTCTTCTTTTCTATTTTCGACCATTGTTCCGGGATCATGCGGAACATCAGCGATGTACGCTAATATTTGTCTCTAGGGGTTTCCGCGTTTCTTTTATATATGCTGGTCATTTTACTTGTTTAGTTACGAGGGAAATTTATTTCTCTTACCTTCAATTCCCGGCCGACGCACCAATGTACTCAGAAGATTTCTCGTTGAATTGTTTTTATTACAATGATTTCTGGGTGAATTGTTTTTATCACAATGATTCGAAGTCGGTTCTTCACTCACTCGGGTATTATTCCACATGAAACAACTGAGAATTTAAGTCTGTTCGCAAACTTGGACAAAGCAATGTGTTTAGAATAAAGGGAGACTTTTGAAACTAGTGCAGCGTTGCTTTGAGCGTTACTTATGTTTTGTGCAGAGCACCATATCTTAGGTAATTCGTTCCTGGCTCAAAACAAATGAATCTGACGAAAAGCATTTCAAAACGACAAAACATTTGCCCCCACAAAAGTCTTTTTAATAATACCTCCTTGGCCGACGCACTGTACTAAAATGGTTTCTCACACTGTTCACCGAAAATTCGGCATTATCCTGAGTTATACCTTAAAATTCAGCTAAAACTACATGGAAATTTTGAATAGACACCGAACCAAAATCTCCAAATATCTACGCTACGCACTGTACATATCGTTATGCAACCGCTCCATTGCAGTGATATTTCAATTTTACTCATGTGTCGTCTTTTATCTCAACTGTAGAACCTATTCACGCTCGGTTTTCGCGCCAGCCGCGATAGATGGTACTTGATAAATTGTTTTATCGATGGTTGTCAAAGTTCGTCGCTAATATTTCCATTTGCTTCAGCAAAGAGCAAAAATTCATGGCGTAATTGAACAATCAAAGGCATAATCAAGGAGTGCGAGAATGGATGTGGAATGCAATTGTGACATGAGAATTCCGCGAAAACTTGCACAGTGCTCTGAAGAAGAACATGAATGAAAACGCTATAATAAATTCGACAGGAGTTATACATGATCAGTCACAATGAAGGCATCAAAGATTTTCAAATAGAACACTATAAAAAACAGTTCAAAATCGAAATCAACGTTATTGAGGATTCTTTCAGTTGAAGCGCAATAGACCATTTCTGTGACAATAATTAATTACTTCAACTTCGGTTTGTTGACAGTTCGATCACTTTGTTTGATTTTAAAAGTTGCATAGGAACGATATAGCAATGCAATGATTGTCCAAAATGAGAACAACGATATGCCAACCCAATGTCCACCACTCCAGTGTTCTTCATACGCATATTGGGACCAAATTTGAGCCGTCAATATCAAGGAACATATCTGAAATGGCTCTTTTCTGAGGCTACTAACGGAACGAATATCACATTTTTCTACAGCGAAAAAACTATTTCTTTTATACGTCACGAACGAACAGTGTCGAAAAGGAGAGAGAATGCTTCTTTCAGTTACAACCAAATCGACAAAGCAAAAAAAGTTCAACCATCACCCTTTCCTATCAATTGAAAATGTTTCGTTTCAGTCTTTCATGAACTTGTATTTATTAACCTTAAGAAGATAAATTTTCGTTAAAAATTTNTCTGAAGGTTATCGGAACGCTGACAATTTAACGATTTTCAAAGAAAAATTTTTGAGATCAAATTCTTCACGCATTTTCAGAGAATCTGTTGTCGATTTCTACATTTTGATTCATTGATAGATTCGACTACCTCATTAGCATTTCCTCATCATATTATTATGTTCATTTTCACCATACTTGTATGATTAATCAAAACATCAACTGAATTATTCACAATATTGGATTATTCGTCAATTGTCTCGAATTATTCATTATATTTTCATGCACAAGCACCACTAAAATCAGGACGAGATCATGTAGAGAGACCGGAAAAGTAAACTGGGATAACGAGAGTCAAAGATCGTCTTATAATGTTTTTTAAACTTTGTTGAATCATTCAAGCAGTTTAATGTAAATGACTGTCTTGCTAAAAATCCCGCTCGTTCGATGTGATGATATATGCATACAAGAAATCACGAAATTCAAGAAGTTGATGAAATGAGGATAAAGTAAATAAGACATTGGGAAAAATAAACAGAAGATTTAGCGATGGAACGATGCAAGATGTTACTGACCAATGCACGTGTATCAATAGCAATCAATCTCCATGATTCCTCCTTCCAGTATAGAGCGCGAGTACTAATCAAGTAACTGGTTGTGAAATAAGCACCCATAAGGCGAGCGCATAGCTCATGTGATTCATCCATTTCAACGTTCACCTTTAATGACTCATTATGGATTAATCGAACCGACATGTTTTCTGCTTCTTATTGCAGTTGCGTTATCTTTGGTTAACTTTATTCTATAATACAGTTGTTGGATATCCATTCGTTGACTGTTCAAAGCTGAATGAATGACAGATGAAAGCTGAAACCTGGTTGTGGAGAAGCCATTTTGGGAATGCTATCCACGTGCAACCAATAGCAATGGAAGCAACTGAATCAAGTTGATATAAGAAATTTGCAAATGGCGTTGATGAATTGAACGTTTTACCAAGAGGCCATCCAGAATAAGTTAGCATTGACAAATGCAAAGCAATTGATATATAGCAGCAATATTTCCCGATTTTTAGTTTCTGAAAAAGAAGGAAAACACTGAATTTCGGGCAGATAAAAACAATGATGAATAAATTGTTTAGCGCAGTTCAGAATATAAATCATATTCAATGAAACTGAGAATGGCGTTCGCCTTTTCTGGTTCAGATCTACTTCGTTTCGAGAAGTGTGATAGGCATTTCTATTGAGCTACTCGTGTGCAAATGAAAAGCACGTTTTAAAAAACTGATGTGACAAAATGTGTAAATTTATAATTCGATGACATCATTTGTATGGTTCGCGCTACAAAGTATGTCTTATAGCAGGTGTAAATGATTCTGAAGAATTCTCTATGCAAAAACTGTATTTGAGTACAAAATATTGTAAAGAACGATTCAGCGCAGATGAGCATGAGTAAATCAATGCTTACTGCAACATGGAAAATCATACCTCGTTCGTAATGAGATCGGGTGTCATCGAAGAGCAATGATAAATCAAAACAAGTGTTAAGGTGGCCCCCTGAAAATGATAACAATTTTCAACCGGTCTCCAATTAAGACATTAATATTTACAACGAAGGTGAATTCATTCATGTCAACTTTGTTGGGAATGAACAAACATGAATAAACAAAAAAATTGATGAACTGGTGGATGAAGTCGAAATATGGACAGTGGTTAGTACTATAAAAATCTCCTCTGCGGCGGGGTTCTTCGTAATATGCGATAAACAACCGCAAACGAACAAAAATATCAATTATCACATATCATGAAAATAATTCATTAAAATCGTACCAAAAGACGAATCAAATAGGACACTGATGCCACTTCACGCGAACAATAACCAAGTCTGTAGAGGATAAAAGCACTACCCAGGAGTTGTCCTCCGACAGCTCGCAATATATGCCAATGCACTCCATCTGTTTGACCATTCTGGAACAGTACTACATCCACTTATTCAGATACTAGAAGGGATACCAAAATAAGCGAACAAATTCGAAAGTAGATGAGAAAAGCTATTGAAGCCTCAGTGAAAATTGTGCTCAGCGATGAACGATACGTGAGTGAAGTATTACTTGTCACATGAAAATCGCTCGTTAAAATTGATACATAAAATATGGTCAATTCCCCATTTTTGAACATTTAACAA